CGTGTAAGCTGAGGGAATAAGGGAGGAAAAGCAAAAAATGAAAGCTGACAGACTAATACAGCCCATAAAGATCTGGAAAGTAATTACGCTTCTGAGTCAGAATCAATAAAGTTAATAAAATTCCCTCCTCTGTCCTTGCTGGAATTGATGAAGACGTGGGAAAAAAAGGCAGAAAACTACTTTTCCCTGAAACTAGTGCCTAAGGTTTTCTGCTGGGGGGAACATGGAGCTTGGCTGCTACTTTAACTTTCCTCTAATAACATGGTTTATGGAACAGCAGTGATTGTCAAGTTCTCTGTAAAAGAAAGGCATTTCAACAACAAGATTAGACCAAGCTAAGCCTTACACCACACTGGAAATAGCCAGTGAGCCAAACTAGACCATGACAAACCCAAGATTAATCAAACTGCAAACCTAAGGGACAGAAGGAATGTTTACGTTCTTTTTTTGCTCACCAGAAGTAATTAAACTGAGTTCACTTTGGCATGCTAGAGACACATGCACGAATTCCAAGCACAAGAGACATAATAGCTCTATTTGTTGATTACTGCAAATTCACAAAAGAGGAGGGGCATCCAATTTCACTGAGAGGGCCAGAAGCAGACACAGGGAATTAGTGGAAACAAGAACCAGTGTTTGTACAACATCTCCTGATGATCATGAGGGATATAACATCACTACACCCTTTTTAAAAGCTCAGCAGCCTCCACACATAATTAAATTACAGGGCACACAGATTAATTTCAGCTGTAGAAATAAAAGCAGTACAGGCAGCATTCCTCTCTGGAAACACAAAGAATATGAGCTCACAGAGCTCTGCTGTTACCTGCTCAAACCATCCCAGATTTGGAGAAAGATCACTGAAATGTAAAAAGCGAGGTAAATACGAATTAGTCAAATATTGCATGTGCTAAAAAGGCAAGTTTATATCAATTATATGCTTCTCAGAGAGAATGAGAACTCCCCAGGTGTGCCTTGCAAGTTCAGTGGAGGAGACAGTTTCAGCACAGGTTTTTTTCAGCTGTGTCTTGTACATTAGGATTTGTTATGTGTGAATAGGAATCAATAAATGGCACTTGAGAATAATCTGCCTGTACATGATCACCAAAGCAACAGAAGGCATTGAGACAGACATCACAACAGTGCACAGCTGAGATGGAAACCCACAAGGGGTGTCAAAAGCCTTTGAAAACCATGTCCATCAATGACTGGCCCAGTGCTTTAATGCAATTAGCAGGGAGAATTCCCAAGCAGACACTTCAGTGCATCGATGTGAGCCTCCAATTCAGATTGGATTTTAGTCTTTATAGATCTAACAGAGTTAGTGATTACTTCTCCTAAAGAGCTGGCCCATGCAGGCTCTGAACTTTCACTTACTGCCTCTGGAGTCACCAATCTGCTGACAGATGAGCACAGTAAATTCAGAGAACCTGAACTGCTGCAGCCCAGCTCGAAAGTTCATCATGGATTATGGATCCCCTCTTCCTGCACAACACAGTTTGCTCCTTTAGCTGTTTCCCTTCCCAGTTTGTAAACTCCACATGCCAGAAGGGGCTGAGGAAGGGCTGAAGGATCCTTCCCCAGCCCTGCTCACTGGGACAACCTGCCCCAGGCACCACGATCCTGGCTCAGGAGACGCTGCAGCACTGCCCTGCCAAAAAAACCCCAGCTGGAGGTGCCCTGAAGGAAGGAAAGAATCTCTTACAACCACCCCAGGCTAACCATGCCTGTCCTTACCACAGCCACCTCACAGTGAGTTCTGACTGCAGCACTACCTCCCACCACCTTTCATCATCTTGGAGTTTGTGATTTCAATGAACTTTTGATTCTGAAGATGTAAGTGCATGTAAAAGACAGCTTGTGGAAGCTTTCCCCAGCCCAGGATCTAAAGATTAAGAATTCCAGGCAGAGCTTGAGCTCCTTGTCCATCATGTGTCATGAACACCCTTGTACCTCTGAAAATCCTTTAGAGCTGATGGAAGTGTTCAATTTGCAGGGAAGGAAAACTGGGTTGCTAAGGAACTGCAAAGGAAAAAAAAGGCCAGAGTGTGGTAGTCTGAAATGAAATTATTTAAATTAATTGGCCCTTGATATGTTGGGTATTTGGCACATTATCAGCAATTCAGCAGGCTTTGTTTTAAACTTAGGCTGAAAGAACAGTCAGAACATGATTGCACACTTAATTTGGGGATTAGCTCCATTCTCTTTTCTCACACAACAGACCCCTGTTCATCTTTGTGGATTTCACACAAAATTTTAAAAGCAAAGGACATGAATATCAGTTTGAACTAGAGCTATGCCTACAGTTATTGGGACTCCTTTCCTTTAAATGAAGACAAAGGGTAAGGATTCTCTCTGAATTTATTCTCACTGATAGCCCAACAGATGCACTTTTCCAGCAAGTATTGGCTTTCACACTTTGCTCATTTTGGCAGAGATCTCGGCCATGCACAGCACCAAATGTATTGCATGGATTTTTGTTTTGCAACATTTTCACTTCAGGAAAATATTTTCAATTGTTTGTAATCATTAAAGATCCCATTCAGTGGAAGATTTTTCAAGTTCTCAACTGAGAATTTCATTTCAGTTGTTTTAAAGAGCATTTCCTTTTCTTACTTCTATTTTCTGAGACAGATTTTTCCTGAGTGAAGGTTTTCTCCTCTTCTTTTACCTGTTTATTTCACTTTACTGCAATAGAAGAGAGTTAAGACTGCAGAGACTACACCTCTGGTGTGCTAACTTACAAGATGTCAAGTAGCAAAGTGACAACCTCACCTTCCACCTCTCTTACTGAGATTTTGGGGTTTTATTGCTGATGAGCAGGCTTTGTCACATGGTTACCTCACAAAATAACAACAGCCAGCAAATAACAGTATCTAACAACAAAACTTCACACTTTTATGAACCAAGCAACAGGTTTTCTTGAGTGGTTTACAAGGAGCACATTCACTGACCAAAATGAGGTGTGACCCACCCATCACTGCCTCCCTGCATCCCTGCCTGTGCACTCCTAGATTTTCATTTGGTTGGCTCCTAAAGGCTGAATGTATTGATTTTGCAATGCCTAGTTGATCAAATAAAAGTTAAGACCTCTCCCTTAAAATTCCATTTGTTTTAACTTTCTTGTGATGGAGAATCACAAAACCCACTAGTCATGCTGTAACTACCTTCTCTTTTTTTCCTTGCAAGTATCTATTTTTATTGGAGCACGAACACTGCTGGATGAACAGCATACAAGAAATGTTTTCTTTCATACAATGAGCTTTACATACACAAGATAACTCCAGCTTCCAGTCTATACAATTTTTGTTTGGTCTATTGAAAGAAAAAAATAAATTTTAGATTCTTAAGCCTTTCCAAACACTGTTTTGGACAGTTATTGAGTAAAAACATTTAATATGCATTCCATGCTCTTTGAGAAACACAAGTACAGCAGGTGAGAACTGACACACCAGTATGTGTGGCCATAAGAGATAACATTTTATTACCACAGTTCTTTCATCCCTTTTTTGGAAATGCAAAACTTAAAGCCTTCAGAGAAAATAACACAGGTGCTGCCCCATTCCCTGAATTCATGTCACATTTACTTGTCACTCTTTCATAACAGAAATTAAAGATACAAAAAAAAAAAAAAAAAACAAAACCTGCTACCACAGATGAAAAACAAGAAAAAGGTAAAAGAGAAGTTTTTACTTTAAAGTTCTCCAGCAGTGTTTTTTCTGAAATCTCAAGGCAGCCTTCACATAAATGGATGGCACTGCCACTCAACTCAGCCTCTTGTGCTCCCTCTTCTGTGCAGCAAATAATTGTAGTGCAGCAGAGTGGTCCCTTTCCTCAAAATACTTCTTGTAATGTTGTTACAAAGAGGATTCTTTCCTGTTTTCCATTTGTACAAGTGTTTTCTTTCTGAAGACACTGTTTTTACATAATAGCTTTCCAAACTTTGGCTTTCCTGCTTTGCTGTCCCCTAAAAAGGCTCTAGAAAACCAGGGAAAAAACATACATGGGTTCATGAAAGACCACAAACCTTAGATATCATAAGATTATCAGCAGGTAGAATTTCCAACCTTCAGTGTCCTTTGCCAAAAAGCTGAAATTCTGTGACCCTGTCACTTTGAAGCAGACTGAGCAGTAATTAAGTGTCCGACGAGATGATGGCTACTTCAGAACAGACTTTCTATGTGCTAACAGCTTTTATTAATGGAGAAAACAGCACACTCCAGAGTGTTCTCAAAGAGGTCACAAGGTCATTAGTTACCCCAAGAGCAGGAGCTGCCATTTCAGACCTTGCTGTTTGCAAAAAAAAAGTGTTGTTTGCCTTACCCAACGGTGCCAACACACCCAGCACTCACTGCTGTCCTGTTTGCCTGCCCTGCACAGCCACTCACAGCTCAGTCTGGGAACCCAAAACCCAGCAGCTGAAACCAAAGACGTTCACTTACCTGCACTCCACAGTGCACAGAAATCAGGGAATTCAGGCAGGGCTGGGAGTTTGATAAAGAACCCAGATGACCTGCACACAGAAAGCTTAGAGAAGGGAATGAAAAGAGCTGCTGGCCTTTTTTAGAGCTGAAATCACTCATCTGCCAACCCATCACACACTGCTGGTAACACAGCTGCTGTTACAGGTGACCTGGGGACAGGTGGAATAGAGACAGTGCTGAAGGCAATCTCATCCCAAGCAGCCTTGCCCTTTCCAGGGCCCAGCTATGTCCAGTGAGGATGGGTGTTACAGAACAGTGGCTTAGCCAGCTGAAGTTTGCTGGTGCTGCCAGGAGGAAGGGTTAGGGTGTTCTGAGAGGGACAGGAAAGAGTTGGCTGTCAGAGAAAGAGTCAGTGCTGTGTGGAGCTGCCTGTGGGAAGTTTACAGGGAGAAGGCACAAAAGTTTTAGTGTAGGACAAAAAGGGACTGATGCTTGCATCAGTTATGAGACCACCATCAATCAGTGCCCTGTGTGAGGATACCAATGACAGGACAAGGTGCAAGGACACATGCTCACCGTGCACACAGAGGTCTCATCCCCAGTCTGGAGCCTGTTCTGAGCCAGCAGCAGCTCCAGGAGGTGCAGGCTGTGCAGCAGCCAGGAGAAGGCCAGCAGCAGCTCCCGGCTGCCCCTGGAGCCATCAGCAGGGAGCTGCTGGAGCTGGGGCCGCCTGTAGCCGTGGTACCACAGTGCCCACTTCACAAAGCTCACCTGGTCACCTGCAAGGACAAAACAGCCCAGAGTGACACCCTGCAGCCATGCTTTCATCCCTCCAGCTCCACAGCTGCTCCTCCAAGGCCACATGCTGGAACCCTGAAGTTCCAACCTGGGAGTTTTGAGCTTTCTGTGCTGTCAGGCACTGACCCCCAGGAGAACACTGCTTTTGACTTGAGGCCATGGAGAAGGCTTCCAAATTTAAGGAACAGAGTTAAAATCACTGTAGTTAGAATAGAAATGTGTCATTTTACATAGTGAAAGGTTTTGAATTTAGAGTTTTAGAATATAGAACAAAACGGAAGTTCTCAGACATTATCCCTTTCTTCCTTCTTGTTCCTTCTTCATCTTAGTTTCAAATAATAGTTTTTAGTTTGATAGAAAGTACTGCAGTACGAGTCACACGTGTTTGGTTATTAAGTCAAAAGCATAAATAATATAAATGTTAACTTTTCATTAGATAATTAGCCTTTAAAAAAACTTTATAACTAACTAAATTCACCTCCATTTTCTCACTAATAGCTAAAAGTACTAAAGAACTCTCCGTACTTTGAATAAAATTTAATAAACAACCAAGTCCAAACAAAAAATCCATCTCTTAAACATTCAATCCTGAGTAAAAGCAATAGAAAAAAGCACTTTCAGGCAGAGTTTTTAATCCAGCCTCAGGAAGACTGGGGACTTAATTCTTTATCAACTGTTGCTATAGCCTTGCCTTGGAGACAGAAATGAGATGGATGACATAGTTTTTTTAATAAAAATTTTATTTTTATTGTACAATTGTAAAATTTTCTTTTTATATGGTATTAGAAGGTACTGTGCTTGAATTTAATAGGTTAGCAAATTATTGAAACTCTGTTGGTTGGTGATGGCTAGAGTACATGTTCATCAGATTTTTTCTTTCTTTTTAGTTTTATTTTTTCTTCATGGATTCTCATGGGATAGACTTTTTATTTTTGTAGGTGTGAACCGTTTTCTCATAAGAATAGACTGATTTTTATTTTTACAATTTTTTTCTCATGGGAACTTCACAGGTTAGCTTAGCCAGAATAGTAAGGTTTAAACCATGCTTTATAAGGCCTTTCTTTTCTAAGGTTTTATCTATATGCAACAATCAACAACTGGTGAAGGACAGGAGGGAAAGTGTAAAAAAAGCCTTCTTTAAACTGCCCCATTCTGATTACAGAAACTGCTGCTCAGGGGAAAGAAGAAATTCAAAGTTGGGATCAAGATCGGTAATGGCCTCTGAGAAATTAACAGAGGCAACAAAGGTAATTAGCCACCCCCACTAGAACAGGACTCCAACTCACCTATTCATTTTTTATGAGTCACCAAGCACGCTATGAATTAGTAAACACTCTGAAATCACTTTACTCCTGAACTGCACTGGAATTCAGAGATAGGAGTTGCACAGCCTGCTGCAAATCTCTGAGCACCAGAGAGCAGAGATAATGCAGCACAGCACACGGGCTGCTAAATTCTCAGGAAGCCTCTCATCCATATTCCTTCACACCAGCAAATGGGACCTGACAGCTACAAGACAGGCACTGCATGACTGTAAAATACTGAGGAAACACAGAGAAAGTCATTATTATAAAAGGTTCTGCCCAGTAAGCCTTGGCTCTGTACTAAGTCAAAAACAGAATAAAGAACATAATTAGGGGGACAGTGAAAACAACACCGACTGGGTAAGAGCCAACAGTGGTAAAAGGAAGACCTGCTCCAAAAGTTTCTGGAGCTCTCTGAGGGCAACAAGAAGCAAGTGATTAAGGAAGATTCAACCAAATCAAGCCATTTAGACTTCCCACTGGGATTCAGCTTGCACTAAGAAACCAAAGCACTGCAGTGGAGGGAGAGGAAAAGCCCTTGAATCAATGACAAGTGCCCAGCAGACAAGAACCAGAGGGCAGGAACAAAGAGTGGTTTCACATGAGGGCTCTGTGCTAAACAGCTGCTGTTCAAACAGCTCAAAATGACACTTGGAGAATGTGACAATGACAGAAAACTTGGTGCTGATGTGATAATAGTAGTAAAGAATGCAGGCAGATCATGAAGGACTGCAGAACCTTGAGCCCCAGCTTTAAAGAGACAGATAAAAGTATTTTTAGAAAAAAATGAAAAATTATGTGCACCAAGAAAGAAATGTTCCTAACTTTACTGACTTACAACATTAGACTGGACCTGGAACTGCTCAGTGGGCTCAGGAACACAGTCTCAGATGATGATAAGGTTTTTAATGACAGTATCACAATTGGTTCTGACAGGCATCCAAAGGCAAAGTCAGTGTGAGAAACGTAGCCAGGACACTGAACAGAACACAATTACCCACTGTGACCCCTATTTCTTCACTCCCATTAAGTCTACAGACAATTTGGAAAGAAAGAAAGAGAAAGGACAAGTACAATCACAAGTACAGAACAGCTGCATTGTAAGAAGCAATGAAGCAGGCCAAGAAGATGAGCAAGAATGGATATGACAAAACTCTTCAAAATCCTGAGTGCTGTGCAGTGGGTGAAGAGTGGATGATTTGTTTGCACAACACTCAGCACAAGAAGTGTGAGCCACCAAAGTCAGCAAGCACGTGAGTCAAAACAAGATAAAAGAGATGCTCTTCACACACGTAGCAAAATTCTGAAATTGTTCACTGTGGGACACTGTGGACTCTTTAAATCACTCAGGCTCAAGGAGGAACTGGAATTACAGAGCAGCAGCTCATGGAAACTTATGGATGGGAAAGTCTGAGATGTGAACTGCTGGAGGCTAAAGGAATATGCCCCCATGCTGTGGAAAGCATCCTGCTAGATTTGCTCTTTTCTTTCCCTTGGGCATTCACTCTGACAGCTGTCACAGCTGGGTGGAGCCAGAGGAATCTACAGTTTCATGCACTTCAGGCATTCTTGCAAAGCAAAAGACCTAAATCACTCCATTTGCTCTTTCCACAGACCCTGTGAATGAAACAAGCAGCTTCCCTTCCCCATGTCAGGGTGGCAGAAATGCCTGTGCCTTGCTAAGAATCCTGCTGTAGATGTGCACTCCAATCCCTCAAGCACAAGAGGAGCATGGAGATATTTCAGATTTTATTTTGATCACTCGTGAACATTCTTACATGAGCAGGGTTTTCATGTCATCCTTTCCTTTTTTTGTGTGCATTTGTCAAGAAAGGAACTGCCATAACAGGTAAAGGCAGAAATACTCCAAAAGGAAGGATGATCAAGCCATGCTTTCCTCCTTTTTCAAAGCAAATAAGCATCACATGCTGCCATCTGCAGTTCAAGGAGCTCCTCAAAAAACCACATATCAGAGTGGAGTAAAGGAGAGCAAGTCAGGGTGTTTTTTTCTTCTTTTATCACCATTTCCTTGCTCTGATATATCACTCAGGCCAGACCCACCAAGGAAATTCACCACCTGAATTTCTGTGTTGTTCTGATCCTTTATCTCCCCCTCTTTTACTGCAACACTCTGCTCTCACAGGAGAGGTGTACCAGGCAGGAAAATTGGGAGTGAGCAGTCAAGGCATGGATCTGGAGCTGGGCTCAAAGAACCTTCCTGTGACCTTAGAGAAGTCCCTTTGTTTTCCTCACCTCACGTTAAAAGGCAAAAGTATAAATGGAGTAAAGGTCATGTGAGTACCCAGGACTAAGATGGATTCTTCTGTAATGTGCAGCCAAGAGAGAGGAAAGAACACCACTCAGATGGAAGATAACACCAGACATCTCTCTGACATCTTCTTATGGCATTAGGATTAGGAAATTTATACAGAAAGACCTTCCTAAGGCTTCCAACTAAGCCCCTTCTCCACAGGTATTATTCATAAAAGTATATTCAGCAAGTAAGACCAAGCTGGGGATGAACCTCAGGGTTCAGCTCACTTCAAGCTGTACTCAAGCTGTGCTCTTCTACTGTGAGTCCTGACAAATATTTCCAGTGATTTACAAGATGATATTCAAATAAGGGCTATGCACTAGCCTGGCAGGCTGAAATGGAAAGGAACTAAAAACCAAGCACAAGCACAGACACAGATCCATTACTTCACACACTCAGATAAGAAACACCTGCATAGGCAGTGGTATTATGAGAAACCACTGCTTCAGAAGAACATTTTCTGCTACACTTGTCAAACAAACAAAAATCTATTGCAGCTCCAGACCTCTTTCACATGCTACAAAAAGTGAACAGCAATTCCAGGAAAGAAATATTTCCTCCAACTATCCAAATGCATATTGCACTGCTACCTGGTGTGCTTGTCAGGTTGTTGTCACCCAAGTTCATCAGCCTCTGTGAAGAAGAAGCAGCATGGAACCCTCAGTCATTATTTCATCAGCAACGTTATGCCCAGAGTATTCACACAGCTTACTCTGACTCTCCACTCTCCACTAAACTGCTGTGACATGCCAGATTTTACAGTAAGTTTCCACCAGAGTTTACATTTAAGGGCTTTTCACTGTGTGAAAAAGAAATTCTCACAGAATGAGAAACCAGGAGCCAGCTGCAGAATTTTATAACCACTGACTGGCAGGCTTCAGTGGCATTCCTGAGCTGACCAAAGATCAGTGTTTCCTTTTGAAAAATAAAGGCTACAAGATCACTGGAGAATGGCTTCTCTTTTCCAGAAAGCTGTTTCTATGCACACAGTAACCCCTACACCAAAGGAGTCTTCACAGCCCTCCTCTGGGATCTGGCAACTGCTGCTCTCCCTGTTTTAACCAAGGTAATTAAGAGGTTGTACAAAAAGAGCAAAGGAAAGGAAAGCTTGATCTCTGGACTAAGGCACTAGACTTGGATTAGAGGAATCTGTTTCAATTCTCTGTTGTGCATCAGGATCCTACACAAACCTGAGAAAGTTATTTAGTGCCTATGCCCAAGGCTTAATTCATTTGCATTAAATACACAAGAGACCAAAGCTGAGGCAGAGAAGAAAAGCAGTGAAATATTGATTGTGTTCACAGCAGACAACTCATTCACTTGCCAAGCAAAAGTAATTAGTGTCATTTGAAAAACAGTACAGCTCTCCAGCCCGAATTTCAGCTTTAATCACCAAGTTGAGACTAAGAAGGTTTCTCAGAAATCAGCTGGGCAGTTCTCAGCAGAACCACACATTGCTCCCTCACAATACACCAGTGCAGGTTGTGCTTGCTCTCTCTAGAGCCAGGAACCTGCCACGTGCACTTGGAAATCCTGTCCCCAAATGCTACAGGCAATTAGTACGGGAGCAGCCAGGATCCAGTGAGGCTGCACATGTGCAGCACCACATCCACAATGCTGTGGGAGACAGGCAATAAACAGACTTGCCATACACCCAGCAGACTGTGGATGAGTGGAGAAACAAAACCAAAAATAAAAACGGCCAAATGAAAAATCCTGTGAGTAACAGGACTTCCTGCTGAGCTACCAGCAAAACTATGCTGGTTCTGCTCTGCATTCCACAGTGCTTAACCTTCCTTAATTCCATTTACAGAGCCACCAGCCTCACAGCTATTCAGGGGCTTATACAACGTTGTTTAGGCTGTTCTGCTTTCAAGGGCAAAAGTGAATATTAAGTGGATTTGGTATGAGGAGACCTTGATTCATCACAATACAATTCTCACACAATGAAAAGGCCCTAGATAGACATGTCTCAAGGGAGAAGATGAGGAGTAGTGCTGTACTTGGAATAACATACATTTAAGAAGTAAACAATCTTCTGCTATTTTGAGAAGCCAATCTGCATTCAGCTCCTCTCTGGAGCAGTGGCCCTGTTCATAAAGCCATTATTCACAGTCCCCCTAAAACAACCACACACAGTCTATTTCTAGTTTTGTGTACAACTTCAATCCAAACCACTGCCTTTATGGTTCTCACGTTGCAATTCCTGGCTCTGACACAGGACTGGACAGAAAAGCACCGACAGAACCAAGAGAATGGGAAAAGAAGGAACCAAAGGAAAACCAAACCTACTTCTGTCTTTGCAGATACTGAGAATGCAGAGATTTACCTGCAATAAAATGTCACAGGGATTCAAGAGCCTGTGCAAACATCCCAGTTTCCAGGACAAAGCACATCAAAGAGTAGCAAGCCTGCCTCACAGCACATTTACTCATCAGTAAACCTGACACCCAGTATGTTGGTGGCACAGGTGTTCAAAACAGAGCACTCAGGACAGGGAGCAGGGAGCCAAAGGCCAACAAATCCAACAAAACCAGTGCCAATCCTTTCCCAGCACAGATGGAAACTGCAGTCAGCAGAATGATGTTACCTATGGCATCAGACTCTGTCCACTTGCCCCTGTGGATCTGCTTCAGAAGCACATACAGCAGCCTCCAGAAGTCCAGGCTCTGCAAAAGAGAGGGATGGAAGGGAGATCAGCAGGAATAATATCTGCCATATTATTTAGGCTCAATTAGGCAATTAAGCCCATATCTGAAGATCACACATGGAACAGCACACCTGCTGACCCAGCCAACACCATCTGATCAGGCAGGTTCATGTATTACCTGCCCATGAACACAGAATCTACAGAAAGGAGCACCCAGAAAGAAAAGGGCTAATGCTGGCTGCACAGCCAGCACTTCTACTGTGAGACCCATATGTAGAGGAGCGTTCTAAAATCTGACACAACCACACGTGTCACAGCTCACCCACAGTCAAACAAGAACACACTGGTAATATCTGACCAGGACAGTTTCAGAAACTCATAAACAAGAGGCACCACAGAATGAGCTGGAACTGGGAATCATTTCTTGGCCACACAAGGACAGCATGCTGACAAACTCAAATAATGATTCTTACAGCTGGAATTTCAGTCAACACTCATAAAATCCTTAAAATAGCCGAGGCAAGGAGGTACCCTGTGTGTGAGCTGGAAGCCTCGGAGGCAGAGCAGCAAGACCCAAACTGGAGTATGGTAAGGGACAGCAAAGCCCAGGTGACACTGAGAAGGGTGAAACACCAAGGCTTGACTTAAAACCACAGCAGGACACAGCCCTTCCCAGAGCAGTGAGTCTGAGACACTAACCCCTAACACGGGTCTGCTGGGACTGCACCAAACAGCGACTGCACAGAGCACACAGAACACACAGAGCAGGGACTGCACAGAGCACACAGAGCAGAGACTGCACAGAGCACACAGAACACAGAGCAGGGACTGCACCAAACAGGAACTGCACAGAACACACAGAACACACAGAGCAGGGACTGCACAGAGCACACAGAGCAGAGACTGCACAGAGCACACAGAACACACAGAGCAGGGACTGCACCAAAAACAGAAAACAGGGACTGCACAGAGCAGGGACTGCACAGAACACACAGAACCGGGCTCACACAGAACCGGGCTCGCACAGAACCGGGCTCGCACAGAACCGGGCTCGCACAGAACCGGGCCCGCACCGCAGCAGGGCTCAGCGGCCGTGGCGCTGCCCCCAGTCCCTGTCCCGGGACCAGCCGCCCTATGCCACTGCCCGGTGCCGGTGCCACTGCCCGGTGCCGGTGCCGCTGCCCGGTGCCGCTGCCCGCAGCTCTCTCTCCTCTCTCGGGGGTCACGCACCGCCTGCGGCCGGTCGAACCTGGCGCGGCGCAGGGTGTCGGGGGCGGGCCGGCCGCGGGGCGGCAGGGCCCGGCACAGCGCCCCGACGGCGGCGGGCAGCGCCGGGCCGCGCTGCCGGGGCCGCTCCCGGGGCTGCATCCCGCTCTTCCCGCCGTTCCCGCCTCTGTTCCCACTGCTGCCGCCGATCCCGGCACCGGCAGGAGCGCCCTTTCCGGGCTGCCCGCCCGAGACAGCGCCCCCTGCCCGCGGGGAGGGAGAACTGCGGGCGCGCCAGCCCTGCCTGTCGCCCTGCATGTGCCTGGGTGTCCCTGGATATACCTGGATATACCTGGATATACCTGGATATGTCTGGATGTATCTGGGTGTCCCTGGATGTCCCTGGGTGTACCTGGGCCCACCTGGATGTCCCTGGAGGTCCCTGGATGTCCCTGGATATACCTGGGTGTCCCTGGATATGTCTGGATGTATCTGGGTGTCCCTGGATGTGCCTGGGTGTACCTGGGTGTCCTTGCATCTCCTTGGATGTCCCTGGTGTACTTGGATGTACCTGGGTGTCCCTGGATGTCCCTGCAGCTCCCTTCATCTCCCTGGATGTCCCTGCATCTCCCTTCATCTCCCTGGATGTACCTGGGTATCTCTGGATGTCCCCGGATGTATCTGGGTGTCCCTGGATCTCCCTGGATGTCTCTGGATCACCCTGCATCTCCCTGCATCTCCCTGCATCTCCCTGCATGTCCCCACATCTCCCAGACCACCGATGGACCCGACGCTGATTCCACCTGCTCTGGTGGCTCAGGGCACAGAGGGCTCCTGGTCCCCCTGGGCATTGCCCCACACATGTCACCTCCCTGAGCCATGGACGTGCCTTCTGCCCTGCCAAAAACCCTGGGGAAGCCCTGTGAGCCTCCTCCACCCTTCCTGGTGGACAGAGCTGTTGCAAAACCCAGCTTTGGCTCATGGAAAGACACAGCTCTGCTGCAGTCAGAAAGCTCCTGGGATGATGGGAGAGCAGGGTTTGGCACAGCAGCTCTGTGGATATTCCTGCCTGCCTCTTGCTCTGTGGGTGTGATGCAGCCAGCTCGGGTCCCTGGGAATATAAACCCAAAAAGAAACAATCCCAGGGATTAATCCTCGGTGGGGAGAAATGGAGTGCTGTTCGGGAGAAGCCTAAATCCATCCATGATCAGGATTTACAAAAATCTGGCGCAGAGCTGGATTCCTGCAGTGGCTTTGCAGAGGGAGCACAGCTGCTCTGTGCCAGGGACACGGCTCTGCTCTGCCAGCACCACGGGGATCCTGCCTGTGCCTGGACATGAGACCTGCTGGAAGCCCCCCTGATGGCTGCTTGGCCACTTCCCCAGTTCACAGCCCATTTAATGTGCTCGCTGTGGCTCTGGTGTGATGCCTTTGCTTCTTTTTCCACCACTATCTGAACAACGTGAAGCAACACGTGAAATTCCTTCCCACTACAGAACGGGCTCCTGCAGCCAAATGGCTGCTCACAATGAGGAGAGAAATCCCAGTGGTCCAAAGAGACCTCCAGCCAGCATGAACTGTGGCTGCACTCTCTCCCTCCTTGCTCCCCTCCTGCCTCCCAGCCCTTCCCAGTGCTGAGCGCTGCTTTAGAGCTCTCCCAGTCCTGTGGATCCTGGCTCCTGCTCCAGCCAGCCCTGAAAGGACCCCTGGGTGTGAGTTATCCAGGCTTAAGGATTTTTAAAATATCTTCTCTAGCAGCTGTTGTCTCACATCCTCCTTTCCTAATGGCCTGGAAAGCATTTTCCTTATCCCTCGTCCAGTTCTAGCTCAGCAATCTGTATCCACTTCTTTGCTCTCCTGCCTAACAGGCTTGGCATTCCCACATGGTTCCTTGCCTTGGGTTTCCAGCAGCCCATAAAGTCCATTTTTTATTGACCAGAGCCTTATCAAACTGGGACAACCCTCTGCTGTCTTTGGCATCCTCCTTGGCTTTCCATACCTTGCTGCTATCGGGTGCTGTCTGCTCCCTCCATGACACATCTCTTGTCTATTTTCCCGTCCCTGCTGCAGTCTCCAGGCAGGAGGACCTTCAGCTGCAGCCAATTTCCTGTGTTTTCTTGACCACTCCATAAACCCAGCTCAAAGTTATCCCTGTCCCCACACACATTCCTCTGTCTGGGCTTTTCCTCCCCAGGGCAGCTGCCGAGACAAGGGCTCTCCTGCACGGCCCAGTGCATGCACAGTGAGTGGTTCTGTCCATCCCCCTCCTCTGGGCTCCTGTCCTGCAGCCAACACCCCCAGGCCAGTGAAATCACCACTCAGCAGCTGGGACTCACACCATCCCAGCACACTCTCCATTCTGCTGGCCAAACCAACCCCGTGGCATCTCAGCACAGAGCTGGCTGCTCTGCTGGCCAGCATCCCCTGGTCCCTTGCCCCATGGGTTCAGCCAGCACAGGACTCCTGGCACTGTGCAGGGCTGGCACTTGCCCACAGGCAAGCTGGAGGCCAGGCAGACCATCCCAGGCTCTCTGGCACAGCACAGCACTCAGTGCCAGCTGCCAGACCCCACTTATCTGCTCTGCTGGCTGTTCCCAGGCTGGAGAAGCCCAGGGGAAGGTGATGTTTTCCTGCTGCAGAGCTGGATTGTGTTCTAGGGACAGACAGAGGAGGTGACATTGTGACAGCCCCCAGCGTGCTGTGCCAGCAGGGATGGCCATGGGACCACACTGGCAGCAGAGCCCTGCTCACCCTGGCCACTGTCACCTCCTCTAACAGAGTCCTGCTCGTCCTGGCCACTGTCACCTCCCCTCTCCCAGGCAATAGCATCCTGGCAGATGGAAAGCAGCAATGGCTGGCTGGCACCAGCACACAGCCCTGATGTCATTGTGGAGATTGGAAGCCTCTCTATAAAAAGGAAGCAGGACAGAGCTGGTTTATCAGCTGTCCCCTGGCTCCCAGGCACTGAGGCACATTCAGGGCCAGCATGGCAGCGGGAACCACGATGGGAAGGGAAAATCCAGGCATGTTCTGAGGGGCCAGGGATGCTTTAGCAGGGAGAGGCCACTGGACTTTGCCCTCTGGGGTTCCTGGGCCCACGTGGTGCCACATGGCCACGCTGACACTGTTTTGTGCCAGCTGAAGTAATTTCCACGCTGGGTGACTCATGGATGCCTGTTTGCCCCCGTGCCATGGCAGCTGGCCACCCCACACACCCTGCTGTGTGCCAGGGGTGGTGACAGCAGCGCTGTCCCATTGCCTCATGCCGATTGTATGTGATAGCAGCCACCCCAGCACAGCTCCTGCTGTCACCTCTCTGCCAAGGGGACGGTGTGAGCTCTCCTCCTTGATCACAAACAGCTCCTTTGGTCTTTTGGGGGTTTTTCCTTGGTGCTTTTATCCCCGTGAAGGCGTGGGTGGGAGCCAGCCTGTCTCCTGGCTGGGAATCATCACTTCCCACGCTCCACCACCGCCAGCTGGGGTGGCCAGAGCTCCTCACCTCTCTCCTTGCCCTCTCCTTTCCCCCTCCTCCCTGCAGAGCAGAGCACAGCTTCCCTCCCTGCCCCTGCCTGCTCCAGGGAGGCTTGAGCAGCTCAGGCAGGCTGCACCATCTTCCAAACATTTCCAGCTCCTTCCCAGCCCTTTTATACTCTCCCCTCACTGGGATATCAGGTTAAGCAGAGTGGGGAAAGCAGAGTGGGAAAAGCAGAGTGGGAAAAGCATCACCTGGCATGGCCGTGATGCTGGCAGAAAGGAGCCAAGCAAGCACAGGGCAGTGAGCAGGGATTGCCTGCACACATGGGCTCCACAAATGCTCCAGTGCAGGTTTCCCTGGACACACACAGTTAGTCAGCAGCAGCCCCGTGTGTGGGCTGTAGCACCAAAATTCAAGGTCAGCTCCCAGCAGCTGGATTCTAAAGAGAGGTGTTGGTGTTTCAGGCCCTCTGATGCAAGGCTTTCAGTATGATAAGTGAGTTATGAAGGATTAGAAATGAGAATTAGAAATGAATCTGAAGTCTCAGCAACTCTTTTCAGGAGTTTCACCCTTTTTACTTTAATAGCCAAGTTCCTCTGCATAGAGGGAAACTCCCTCTGACCTCCTCCCCCAGGGCCTTTAACACAACGCTCACCAAAAGAAGACAGAGGCTTCAGTGGAAAGTCCTTGCACCCTTCCCTCTTGGAAACTCTCCCTGTTTCGTTGAAAATAACATAAGAGGTGTGAAAGTAAAATTCAGCTCTGGGTGCCTGATGCCAGCTTTTCTGCTTCTGCTCCTTGCTTGGGCAAGGACCTGGCAAACACCCCCAGGGCTTTTCTCCAGCACTGCATCCAGCAGCAGGAATGGGTGAGAGCAGAGCCCTGCTCTCCCTGCTCCCTAGCTAGAGCTCATTTCCCAGTGCCTCCGTCCATGGTCCCATTCACTTCTCCTTACACCCAGGCTGTCACACCGAGTCACTCTGCCTTCAGTATCTTCAGTGTTTGCTGGGGGTGTTGCTCCCCACCAGAATCAAGGTTTGACCCCCCCTTTTTCACCTCTGCAGAGCTGTTTCCGTTGCTGACATGGGGGTTCCCCAAACCACAGCTTTGTGGAGCTGCACGGGAAGTCCCATCTCACCCCGCGATCTGGCACAGCTCCTGTGCCTGACATCAGCTGCACCTCCCTCCTGCCACACTGCCTGCACAGCAAGGCAGAGCTCTGAGGCCTGAGGAGATGGGCTGACACTTTTTTGACCTAAAAAGAGCTTCTTGAGCTTAACACAAAGCAGCCCTAAAAGTCCTTGATACCACCCAGCCACAGCCTGGTTTTTCATCCCTATGAGCTCTGCACAGCAAAGAGCAGGAAGCCCTTGCAGCCACAGCCCCTGGGCCACCCTCCCCCAGCCAGAGGCTGCCCAGATGGGACACAAAACCACCTCAGGGGAAGTGGTAGAAGTGTCACATCGGTGTCCCCATCAGTCCTGGCAGGAGAGGGTGAGTCGGGACACCACTAAACCAACACCCAGCAGATGTTAGTCCAGATGTGACCCGAGGGCTGCAGCCACGCTGCCAGAGCACAGCCCTGTCCATCCCTAAGGATGGACCCTGAGGGGAGCCCTGCTGCAGGGCTTCCAGCCTGAGCTATCCCCTTGTCAGCTGCAGGCCCAGGGAAACATCTGTCCCCTGCTTCAGATGAAAATCTGTCAATGTGTGCTGAGAGGAGGATGTGGGCTCAGATGACCCTCACTGGCCACTGTGCCCCCAGAGCTGAAGGGACCCCCCCACCTTTGTGCTCCCCTCTCCTTTTCTCTTTTGTACACAAAGCCACAAAGCCAGGATGGGG